TTTTGTTGTTTTGTTGTTTTGTTGTTTTGTTGTTTTGTTGTTTTGTTGTTTTGTTGTTTTGTTGTTTTGTTGTTTTGTTGTTTTGTTGTTTTGTTTTAAGAGAAGAATAAAGCAGTGGTATCTTCTAATTAAAAGTTTCAATTAAAAATATAATGATATCTATAAAATAAAGATGTCATTTCTAGTGATAACCTCAACATAATTTCAGTGTCGTACTCTGCTGATCTGTTTTCTATTATCACAGAACTATCAATAAAAGTACATTTAACTGAAGCGGCAACTTAAATGCGTATCTGACATTTAAAACTTTTCAAGGCCAACAGCAGCCACTGTGATTGGACTGACTTATTGAAGATCGTAAAATACAGTATTTTACCCAGTTGTTCTTGGGTCAAGTTCAGTAGCTTATGATTTTGCTCACTTAAAAATACGAATAGAAAATATGAGTAAAACACCTCATCAAATCAAATGTATGCTTAATCTATTTTATTTCTTTTTCCCCCATCTCATGATGTAGTAAGACAGGAAAAACATCAGATTAAACATATTGGATATGCTGAATAAAATCAGTCTAGTAATCTTTGATTCCTGAGTAGGATAGTTGATTTAATGATGTGAAAATATCAATTTTTAATACAGCCTTAGCACTTAAATTCTTTGTTATCTAGTCACAGTATTTTGGTGAAAGCTACTGTAATGTCTAGGCTCTTGACAGCACAGCCTCTCTGAACTGTCTGCTTTTCTCATTATTGTCCATATCCTTCTTGCTGAGGAAGAGCTGTGGTAGGTAACAGAGATAGCCCTACCCTTACATATCTTGGAAGGCTGTTGAGGCCAGTGACAACTGCAGAATAAATGACAGGTCTGAAGAATATACAGCAATTCCCCAGAGCAGCATTTTGGTTTTTAATTGAATTGCTTAAATTAAAAATTTAATTTAAATTAAGTCTCTAGGATGTGCATAATTCCATGAAAAGCTTTGCAGAAAAATTTTGAATGCCTATCAGTCACTTAAGTTACTTGAAAAATTACATGTATGTCTTATTGAAAACTGTTATATTTAATATGCTAACAGCATCTGTATCCAGCAATAGATGACAAAATTAGTCCTTGATAACATGCAGTGATTGAAAAATAATAATTGTGATTCTAAGCAAATAAACTCACCACCATGATAAACTGGCATCACTGAGTGTGACAGAGCACTGGACCAGGCTGCCCACAGGGGTTGTGCAGTCTTCTTCCTTGTAGATCTTCAAAACCCGCCAGGACAAGATCCTGTGCAATGTGTTCTAGGTGGCCCTACTTGAGCAGGGGTTCCTAGGGGACCACAGGTCCCTTCCACCTTGAACTATTCTGTGATAGTTTGCAGGTAAATAACTACGAAGAAAATCTACATAAGTGTGTGTAGTACAGCTTTGGCTCACCACACACAGGTAGGAAATTTTTGAGCTCTTTTTAAGGAAAGGGAAAAAAAGCATGAAGCAAGAAAGAAAATTCTTCATTCTGAACAGGCTACTATATGTTAAAAATATTTCTAAAAATGGTGACTCACAAGACAGACTCAGTTTAATGCTTTCAATTCTCTTGGCTGTTTTTAAATATGGCTTAATGACTCTCATTCAAATGATAATCAAGACTTTATATTGTGTCACTTTACTTCAGCCTCTGAACGGTTCTTCATTCACTAATGCCTTTGTTAGCACGTATTCCATAGAAGGGATGGGGAAAAATACTGGAACAAGCTTTATTATCCACAGACTTCCTGCTGCAGCACTTGAAAATGATACAGAGCTAGTTGAGAAAGGCTGAGGCATTGTGCTGCAGAATATAAATGGATAATAATTAGCTTTCTGTCAAATTTAGTTTGAATATTTTTATTTGTACTACCTCTCCAGCATCGGGGAAGATTTGCCCTTTAGGTAAGGGAAAAAGATCAAACTCTAATCATGACATGCTGTCTGTGTTAGAATAGGCAGCTGTAACACTGCGTCCTCTAGCCCTGCGTCTGCCTGCACATAGCGGTGTAAGGTAATTTGTAGAAGAAACTTCACAAAATGCTAACATCATTCTTTTGTTTCACAGCAAACTGCCAATGAGAAATAGCCTAATTGGCTGGGCCTGTGGCAGGAGGTCATGTTCTAATGAACATGTAGCTCAGAAAGCTGAAGAAGAGTGGACATGTATGTGCTGTACCCTAATAAACAAGCCGTCTGCTAAAATTTGTGATGCCTGCTTGACTTCAAGGCCTGAAGGTAATGAAAGGATGTTCGGAACTTGGCTTAGGGGGACAAGAGAGGACTGTATTCTTGATATCATTTTCAAAGACATAAAACTGTGGAAAAATGTAAGTTAAGTGTACAGGTAAATTGTAAATCACTTCTATACAACTTTCACTAACTGTGAAACTCAATTTTGGAAGAATCTTATGCAATCCTTATGTCTCATCTTAAAGGCTAAAAATATCCAATCTTCTAGCTTTGTGTGCAGGTGAGGATTGTGTGGACAAGCCATTTCTATGACTCTCTTTTTACTGGGGCAAGGAGTGAGACATAATGCCATTCTTTCCCTAAAAATATCAGTGGTTTGCAGCGTGTGCCTGATAGAGGGGCAAATCATTGTCAGGGCAGAGCAAAAACTAACTCCTTTCATGTGAACAAAGCCCCTAGAAGACTGTATAATGTTAATACTTTTTGCAATGGGCATGTCAACATTTCTCATGGGCTAGTTTTCTTTTTCTCCAAATTCAGAATAAGGACGAGTCATGCCTCACTTTCTAAATTTGTCGTTTGTCCTCTCCTGAAGCTTTACTGCTCCTATCTAGACTCTTGGTAAGGCGAAGCAGCTAGAAAGCAAAAGGAAGGTAAAACTGAAAGAGTAATATGCTGCCTTCTGCACAGAATTCTGTTCAGAAATCTAGATATTAAAGGAGTGATGTAATGAACTTTGCCTTGCCCCTAACCTGTAGGGTGGTGGGTTTTTTTGATTCTTTTAGTATGTGAAAAGCAAAGCTGAGTTTTCTCTTTCACTTTCAGTAGGCAAAGTGAGGTAATGACTCTGTAGAGGGATTTACAGGAAATTATGTAGATCAAAACTCATGTTCAGAGATATTTTGAATGTTGTCCAAGAAGCTTATTTCTGAAGGTAGGCATGTATGTGACTTCTTATGACTAATGCTAATTCTTTAACAATTCTTTTTGTAATTAAAACTTTATACCTTAAAACTAACTCTCTGTCGCCTTCTTTTTATACTCAGAGAATCATTCACTAAAGTGGCAGAAATTCTCATACCACAACTTAATTTTTATTTTTAACCCTAATGCTATAAAACTGACAGGGAAGATGTTTTTAAGTAGTATGCAGGCTTTCTTTGCATCTGAAAAGAATTAATGACTTATCCAGGTTCCAGGACTGATCATTTAAAAATTCTCTGGATTTAACAACATGACTCAAAGTACATAGGTTGAAATTAAAGATCACAAGGTCTCATAGCTCTTCAGGGGACTTTGAGTCATTCTTTTCAAAGGGCCAGAAAACTCCCAGCCTGCTTGAAGAACCACCTTATGGTACTAATGTTTGCTCTTACAAAATCAGTTTCATTTTTTTTTTAAAGTGTTGATTCATTCTAGATACAATCTTGCATGAATGTAGCGCTGTGCATCAAACTCCTCTCTTATTCCAGCTGAACTCCACTTCCCCAGGGTAGGAATCAAGAAAAGTATGTCTTAGTGTACAGCATGAGATTTGTTGCCAGCAGAGGCTAATCTACTTTTCCTTTTCCTGCAAAATCAGTGCCAGAAACCTGTGAACTTTAATCTGTCCACAGCCTCAGATTTACCAATTAACATCTCTCTTGGAATTAATACTCTTAGCTTGTTCTTAAAATATATATCAACCTCTGTACAGTAAAGATCTCTAAAGCTTTGCATCTAAATCCTGCTTCTTTCCCTGTACTGCTTCTCAGTTTCACTTCTTTAGTTATATGCTGTTACTGAAAACATGCCTGGAAACTGAAAACCTGTTAGCATTGGCAGCACACAACTCTTCTCCGATCCCTTCTCTTCTCCCTCTTTTTTTTCTTTTTTTTTTTTAAACTAAGATTTTGCATCACTGGAGTGTTTTTTGAGGTTTGTTTTTTTTTTTAGATTATTTAATACAGCTTTGCTTCTTACAGGAATTGAGGTTTCCTATCTCCACTCCTCTAGCTTTCAGATACAGAATACTAATCAAATCTAGTCCCATTCATATTATAGTAATATTATCCTGAAAGATGATGTTGGCTCCAAAAGTGTATTACCTTTGGTAATTGAAAAAGTTTGGTATATATCTAATCTCTGGCAGGTTTCGTGATCTTTCAAGATGTAAGGTAAATGGAAGTAAATTCACTCTTTCACTCTCTGTATGAACAGTTAAAGCTCATAAATACAATCTTTAGACTCTCACTACACATGTGGATTATAAACAATCATTCATTTTTCCTTAGTTCCAAAGACAGGGAATGATGATGATTCTGCAACCTTTAACAGAAGCTTAATGAAGTATCCTTGTAATGATTTTGGAAAGCCAAGCATTGAAATAAAAATGAACAGGAAAGCTGCATTTGGACATACAACCCTTGTCCTAACCGATCTCAGTAGCAAAGTTGTTCAGAGAAATGATCCCCAGGTATCGGATGGACACCTTCGGAGTGTTTTGCCAAAGAGCAATTTGGATCAAATCCCAAATGATGTACGTCAGTCAGGGGGAAGCACAGACGAGTTCTGCTCAGCAAGCTTCACTGGGGCAATGGCTTCATGCTCCCAGCAGCAGCCTTTCTCTTTCAAACCCATCCAAAAGAAGCAAAAAACTGATCATGTACCTTCTGTTCTCCAGCAAAACAAAGGAATCAGGTATGTTATTCTGAAATGTAATTAAGTCTTTATAATCCCATACCTGAAGACTAATGGAATGGCTGTGGGGTTCAGACATCATCTTCTGATTTCTGTCAGGGATATCTTATTCCTGGATGGAAAAAAAAAAACCACATTCAGATTTCAAAAGCACTTAATTACATAGGCTTTTACAAAATAAGTCCTGATTTTGGCATCTGGCCAATCCTGCTGTTAACTAAACTGCTATTCATAGTTCAGACTTTTATATGGAATAGCACAGCATAGTTCTTACCTGTAAACTGGCAGAGTTCTGCTCCTTGAACTACCTGATCCCTGCTTGCATTAGTAATATACTTATGTATGCTATATGCTTAGAGAGATCTTGAACTCACTGTGAAAGATTACAAAATGTAAATTGATGCCTGTCTTTGAAATAGATTTTTTTTTCCCTGTTTAAAGAGATGTTGTTGAACCATTTAATTTTGTTATTTGCAAGAGCATGTATGCTTCGTATTCTTACTTACTGCAACCTAAAAGGAATAGAAGAGGTCTGTGATGGAAACTCTGCTAAAATACCAGCTGTCTGAAAGATAGAGGCATGTAACTAGTTAGAGTTAGTTAGTTAGTTAAGAGGCAAATGCTAGCTGTCTGAAAGTTAGTTAGAGAAATTGTGCTGTTGAAACACCCAGTTGTGAAATCAGATCTTGCGTGCTGACACACTAGTCTGTGAATACAGATTCTCCTTGCTCTCTTAATAGAGGGCTACAGGCAACTAAGGAGGTAGTCAGGATAACTGAGAGTAAAGCACAAAGAAGTGAGACAGTATCAATCCACATAGCAGGTAGTTACAGCAAGTCATCAATTTAAACATATCTACAGTTTAGGGGAGGGGTCTTTTATTTTTTTTTAAGTTGTGCTTAAGGAGGGGTTGTCTTACTTACTGAGATGTTAGAAAAAAATCTTTGCCAATCTCGTCAAGGATCTTCTAAGCATAAAACACACCATAAAGTTCCTAAGCTGAAAACTTAACAAGAATGGAGTGATCTAATTAATCTTTTCAGGCTTCATTGTGGTTTAATCAGTGCTTTTCTGCTCTGTAAACAGATTGGAAAGTTATATTTCAGAGAATATTAATCTTATTTAAAAATGGTAATCTGAAAAAGAAAGCCTTATATATTATATTCACATAATCTCTGGTTATTTCAGTCATAAGGAATAAAAAAAGACACTTCAGCTCCTTCAGAGAACACTATTCTACCCACTCAGCTAGATTACTTCTTGTCAAAATATGATTTGAGGCGTTACAGTATTGTGTGTAAAGAGAATTTTTTCTGTGAAATGCACAAATATCCATGACTGAGTATTTTTCTTTTTTTGCTCTTCTGAGAGAATTCTTTTAGAGTGTGTTGAAATTTTGGAAAGTGGATATGATATAGGGGGTAGGAATTGTTTTGCAGATGAACTTAAGAATATGTTAAAATAGTTGGAAACAACACTTAATGCTAGGGAAGATTGGAATAGTGGAAGAGAAGCACAGAGTTGGCTGCCTATTTACTCCTAGCAATCATTCATCTTCATCTAAATGCACAGGGGAGGTGCCAGAGAAAATCAAGCTCTTTGGCTGGCCCTGTGTGCCTAAGTACACTGAGAGCACTACCCTAACAGTAGGAGAGGGAGTTCTTTGTCTGGATGTGGAGTTGATAATCCCTTTAATATTATGCAGAAGTGATTTTTTAACCTGTCATTACAGCAAACCTCAAGTTAATATGACAGATGGTATTTGTTCATTAAACACGGGCCATCCTCGCTGCAGTAAACACAACCGCCTCTGCACTCTCAGAGTGGTGAGAAAGGACGGAGAAAACAAGGGCAGGCAGTTTTATACTTGTCCTCTACCCAGAAAATGTCGGTGTGACTACTTTCAAGTATGTATAAGTTTTCAAAGCTTTTTTCTAATTAAGAAAAAGCCATATATGCCATTTGCTTAGTTCAACAGGTCTCCTTGTTGTCCACTTACCCCTGTGTCTGTACATGTAGAAAGATACAATCCCATTAAAGCTTTAGGTCATTTTAGATACTTTTGTACACTGAATTGAAACGGAGATCATACTGGTACTGATCAAAGAGTAGTTTTTCCTACTTCTTACAGTTCTAAAAGCAGCTGCTTGTATAAATACTCAATCTCATTAAGTGCAAAGGAAAGCAGATACATAGTAGGAGTGTTGGTCAGAAGGGACTTCTAGAAGCTAATTCAACCTCCTCCTTGAAGCAGCACTGTTAGCAACACAAGATCATCATCTGCGTCTAGTGGAAATCTTTAAAACTTCCATGAATGGGTGAGATTCCTTGTCTGGACAAGTGTTCTACTAATAACTAATGACTGCTCCAGCTACAACTTCAGGCCATTGCTCCTTGCCATGTATGTATGACTGAGAAGAGTTGGCTCAATCATTTCCCAGCAGGCAGCTGCAGATGAACTTAGGACAGGAACAACAGTGATGTCTTAATTGGAAATAATGTGTGTGTGTTAACTTTAATTGATGCTAAAAGATTAAAATATTTAACACCAGTTAAATAGCATGTAGTTACAATTAATGTTACAGAAAAATCTAAAATAGCTAACCACAAAAGACAAACAACTCCATTAACTACCAGGAGTGCCTCTTGCCACTTACTTGCTAAAGCCTCTCCTGTAGATTTAATTGCTATTAATTTTAGAATAAGGAATTTATTACCATCACATCAAATAATTACTTTTTTTTTTTTGGACAGTGGGCTGACTTGAATTTTCCATTCTGCAACCATGGGAAGCGCTGTGTGATGAAGACTGTGTTGAAGATTGGTCCCAATAATGGAAAGAACTTTTTTGTGTGCCCTTCTGTGAAGGAAAAACAATGTGGCTTTTTCCAATGGGCAGAACAGGGGCCAGGTATACAGATTATTCCTTAAGGTTGAAGTTTTCATCTGTAAAGTGTGACTGTGTAGTTACTCGCTCCTTAAAAGCATTTGACTTTTCATATCTGTTCATTATGCTGCTTTTTCTGTTCACTGGGTCATAGTAAGACAGGTCAAACAACTGAACTACAGCTTTTGAAAGAATGATTACTACATCTAGTCCTGTGAAAATTACATATTGCTTGCATCTCACATACTATTTTGAAATAAAAATATTCAACTCTGACATCATGAATAGGCTTCTGAAATGTCAGTAGGCCGTTGGTACACATTGTTTTAAGACTACTGTGGAAAAAAATCCCTTGTTATAAATTGCAAAAAGCAATTCAGAAACCAACAGAGAGAAAATATCTGAAACAATATTTTAGTCCTTGTTATTGATTCATCTATTTAACAATATATTTTCCCAAAGCCTAATTTTATAATTATATATAATAACCTACAGTAAAAGTGTCATTTTTACTATTTGTAAAAGTTTGACCTTGAATAAAAGATTGTTTTATGTAAAAAAAAAAAAAAAAAAGAATTTGTATCAACTCATTTCTGCTACTCCAGCAAGTATTGGCATTTTATAACTTAGCATCTTCATCTCCAACATAAAGTAATAGGCCAAAACTAGTTTAAATAATTGGGGTGACTGCAGATAAAACAGAACAATAGCTCTTCAGTCTCTATCAGTCAAATTACATGTTACAAATTGTATAAACTTGTGCCTAAAGTCACAATAAAATATGTTACGAATTCCAAGCATCTACTCCTCTGTAAAGGGGTTTCAGAGTTGATGCATCAGCAGTTCAAGAAAACAGTTTTGGCTACACAGATGTCACAAAGGAAACATAGTTAGATCAAAAAATTCAGGTAAGAGATGGAATCTACCAGATAAAATGTTTTGGAGGGATTCTGAGATGTATAAAATCAAATTTTAAGAAGTTTAAGCAGGGTATAAGGCAAGAACCTGAGAGAAAGATAGGGCTGTTAGAGATACCCTAAATGAAGACACAGTTTGAGTGAACTGAAGAGTGAAAGATTCAGACCTGTGAAAGGTTGTCAGGGTACTGCTTGCACGGGTATCTTTCCTTCTCCAGTTATTGCATAAAAAAAAAATTAAAAATTAACTTTAGTCTATTACCTCTTTCCTCAGGATCATGAGGAATGTTATTCTGAAGGCAGGGAACACTGGTACCACAAAGAATTTGCTCCCAAAATGATAAATAGAAAATGCTATAGCTATCATATGCTGTATTTTAAATAACCTTTGGTAAGGAAGATTATAGATTATTTAATTATAATATCATATATATCCTCTATAACTACCACCTCTTTCAGTTACAAGCCTCAAAAGTTTGTATACTGTTCCTGTGGGCTTACATTTGCTTGTTAAATGGGCCTAAATTTGCTTGTTAAATATTCTGGTTGTATAACATGACAAGCTGCACAAAAAGTGGAAGCAGTAACAAAGGGCAAGGAGAGCCAAGTACCATACAGGAAGTTTTTTGTGGAGGAAGGGGAAAAGCAGGCACTTACTGGAGACAAGGCAAGAGACTATGGTTCCAACTCATCTACATAATTTACCCCTTTTACCAGTGCACACCAGCTTTTTTTTTTTTTTCCCTCTAATAGCTTACCTTATTGCACTGAATTTTCCACTTCCCATCTCCTTTCCAAAAGTCAGTCTTCACCTAGAAAAATGTGCAGCCTCATCAGCTCATCTTCATTAGAAAAACTGCTTGCTGAACTTTTAACCAGTTTCAAATAGCTCAACAGGACAAGGCTTTACAAACATAAGTAGGAAAGAGCCTTTAAGCAAACTCCCTTCAACACTACAAACTCAATCTGGGTAGGCGAGAAGTTAAGCAGCACAGCTCACTGAAATTGGGGCCACCAACATAAAACTTCATTTAGCAAATCCTAGCTCAATATGTGATCTTCAACCTAATTTCTTTATTACATTTGACACTGCAGTGCCAGACTCCCAGCACCCAATAACAATACCCAACTGGAACTCAGCAATTTTTCTTCACAGCTCTCTAGAATCTAGTTTGGGTTTTACCTATTCTACATCTATTTCAAATTCTGTTTAAAGTCTCTGCTGTCTTGCACAAAATTGATTAACTTTTTTTTTTAAATGTACTCATTCCAGTACTTGAAGCATATCACTTGAAGCATATGAAAGAAATCCACAATATATGAAATATATGAAAAAAATTAATCTGAAGAAACTAGTAAAAAGCTTATTTTACATTTTACCCATTGGTAATGGGTACATTTTACCCATTTTACTGTATCTCTTGTAAAGTCTCTTCAAATAAAGTATGCATTGACATGACTGATGGTCCTGATAATAATAAATTTTGTAAAAATCCAATGCCATATGTTATTTTTGTCAAAAAAGAGTGGTCCTTGGGTCAATTGCAAGTTTTCAGGTGACTGCCATCTAGTGAGCTCTGCCTGAAATAGATCTTTTAATGACGGTAGGTGATCACATCCAGGCTATTTGTACAAATTGTTTAGACAGCTTGATTGAAAAAAAATACTGATTAAAAGCTTGTCCTGAGGTTGGGATTGTTTCCTAGGATAACAAACCAAATCCACAGGGACAGACCAGAGTAACTCCTACTATAATGAAATCAGCTGTATTTAGAACTATCCTCAGGACTCCCATTCACTCTATTTCTCTCTTCCTTTTTAGGGCCAGGGAGGCTGTATTAGGTGGATTTAGGAACTTGTAGTCTTTTACCACTGTCACTGTCCTGTTCCATCAGACATGTGCAGTCCAATTAAACAGACTACCACAGTCACAGCCTATCTGATGTTCAGCATGCAGAAAATTCAGTGTTAGCCATCGGATTTCTTCTCATTCTTTCACTTATCAAAATACATAGTTTACAGAAATCAAAAAAAGCTCTTAGTCTTTGTGGAAAATATTATCTCACAATGAAAACAGCTAAGTTAGAGAAATGCCATATATATTCACTGAAAATAATTTCCTGACTTTGTAATTAACTGGTTTATAACTAGTAAAAAGTTTGTATGTAGGAAATTACAGGTGGAAAGGACTGAAATGTGACTGCCTTTTATATCCATTCACATCCACTGTTTTGCCAGAGCTGCTTTATAATTTATATGTGGGTCTGCCAAGTGCCCTCAATTCTGTTCTCATGAGACAATGAACAGTTGGATTTTTTTTTTTTTTTTAACGTTAGTTTCTTTCTAAACTGATAGTAGGTAAAAATTAACTTTTTCCTGAATGTATTGGAAGTTTTCCCAAACAATGTTAACCTTTGAGTTTAAGGTAGTTAAGACGGAAGAAAACATTTGTGTAGATTGACAGAGAAAATAAAACAGTTCCCACTTGTTCCTGCAATCTTCATTACTTTATGACTCCAGCACTAAGAGCCCTTAGGAATCTTGTACTTCTTCCAGTTAAAACAGTATCACCAAAACATTCAAGTCTCAGGAGCTTGGTTAGACTGTTACCTAAACATGATAATTTAATGAGGTTAAAATATTGGATATAGCTGCATAAGTCTCCTCTACACCATCCAAAGAAAGGACATTTATTTCTGTAAGGATGAAGCATTCAGAGCCTTGTGTACTAAGACTAACTTACTCACTGTGTGAAATGCTTCAGAGGCATTTAAATGAGATGGTCTAGATCTTCCAAATGTTAAACCTGAAATAATCACAATTATAAAGTGGAACATAATGGTTAAAAAAGACATTGATTGGCATATTATGAATACCTAAGACTGACCAGAAGTACAGCAACAACAATTATAAATGACACCTAGACTACTGATCTGGCATTTGCACTTACCTCTGGCATAATGGGACCCTACATTACTGTTACACATTTCTAAGTAAAACTTTATGCACGATCAAATTTCTATTCAACTTTGAAAGAGGCTTGATTTTTCAAATCAAGTTAAAGAGCGCTACAGGTCTATTTCTGAGTGTGACTGGAGATGGTATCTTATCTCAACTGATTATATTGGCTCTTATCTCACACCTAAACCTCTTTATGATTCACTAACCAGACATCTTGGTGACAGACAGCCCAAGAGACCAATATAGTAGTCTGCCTAAAACACAGCAGTATTAACACAAAGCACATTTCACAGCCACTTCCAATTAAAATGCTCGTCAAGGAGAATGAATTGATGGTGCTCACCTTTTCTTCAAGCCCTGGAGTACCAGCAGTTGTCCTAACGTAGCAGATCTAAGTTGCAGAGCTTCCTCACACAGGGGAAATTCAAATTCACACTTTCAGCAAGAAAAGGCCATCAGAATAAGTTTGGAAATGGACTCTGCACCTTCCCCTCCTGCAGACAGGAAACTATGTTAAACACTCAGGAGACAGGAAAGAGAATATGAGGAACAAGACAGCAGTCTGTCAGTGACAATATCCCTCAAGTAGTAGAAGTCTCGAATTCAAATTCCCTCAGATTTTTCATGTCCCTTGCTGAACTTTACGGGGGAAGAAAGAAGTGCTAGAAGAAACACCCAACTTGGGAGCTGAATCCTGAAACCTGCTGATCGACAGGCACCTCACTTCAGTCTGCAGGAAGGCAGCTAAGCTAGACTTACAAAAGCACATTGTGTAACAGAAGTGAGATCTGCCACCAACCGAATAAATCCCTGTTTTCCTCTGTTTTGCTTCAGCAACATCAACTTTGGGTTGACATTAACAACTGGGTGGCTCTACAGTAAACGAGACCACTTGTTGACCTGGCTGAAAATGCACTATAGAGGGGAAAAAGGAGCCAGACAAGCAACCCTATCACCAGAACCAGTTACACATCTGGAAATAATAATAATAATAATAATAATAATGCCTGAGGGTGGCAGCAAAACCTTTACGCAACTGAAGCCACATTCTCAAGGTGAACAGAGCATAAAATATAAGCTAATACTTATGACAAGGTTAAGTGTTAGATAACTTCTCTTTCGGCAGTGGCTTTTCATGCAACCTATTCTCACTAGTCTAACTTTGTCTGGGAGCTCGGTTCAAGCGAACAGGGATGGTTTTACACTGGAGGCACCAGGGAACAGGGATGCTCCAATACTCAGCCTTGAGCACTCTGATGCCTCATCCTCCAGCAAACAGCCGCAGCCAAATTGCCCTGGAGCTCCTCCATCGGAAGTTCTGAATTCCTCAGCCAGCAGGGGGATGGAGAACAGGTCATACGTGGTCAGACTGAGATCACAGGACTCCTTAATTTGACTGCAGTTACAGTTCACTGACACCGCAGCCTCTCCACTGCAATTTCATTTCCACTTCATAACACGCAAGTTCTTCTTCAATAACAATCAACTAAATTTAAAAAATCCACTTGACAGTTCAATATTGCCAGTATGTGTTTATAATACTTCTCACATTTATCCTTGCAATTTACAGTGTTTTGCTTCATTTATTACTTTAATAAAACAAAAACACTCACAAAAGATACTGCTTCCTTCTTACTGTTCTGTCCAGCCAAGAAATTACTTAGAAAGCTCTCACAGTTGTCAGGGCTCTTCTCTTCAATGAGGCAGGTGTCTGTCTTCTCTAGAGTTAACCTCCTATCACCCCCTAAAACATCCTTTTTTTTTTAATGAATACCACACAAGGATTATTGTATATAACTGCAACAGGTAAGTTGCACTTGACAGACCATATTCCTGACAGAAAATATGCAAGTGGTCCAACAAAATAAGAAACTGTATATTTTATTAATTTTAGTTAAGTAGTTTAAGCATTTTGGGAAATGACAAACATTAAAATCAAAAGGTCAGAGATTCACAGTGTATTTTTCCTGCTCAATTAGTTTGACATTTTACAAAAACTAAATACAATTTACAAATACAGACAAAAGATCAGATTCTCATTCACGTGCTTCACAAATGCCCTTCTCCTGTATTAGCAGAGTTAGATTCTATGACAGTCTTTGCATAAAGTTCATCCGTCTTGGAAAAGAACTTCAGGTTCTTGCCATCTGTACATCAGAATATTTAACTATAATACTGTTACTGATATCTTGCTACACTGAATTTCTTATCCCTTGGATTTTTAGGTGACAAGTGCTAAGAAAATAATAAAATTTAAAAAACCAAACAAACAAAAAAAGAAACAAACAAAACTCCCCGGAACTTTACAACTACACTAGAACGGACAAAATTCATTATCATTTCTAAGTTATAAAAACAATCCAAAAGCTTACAACAGCAACGTTGCTGTAAAACTCTGCTTGGGCAATGTATAATCAAAGACTTCTCTTTCAAGAGATTTCCCCCTATTCCAGGGACGGAAATTCCCTAACAACTGGCTGTCTTTTAGGTTGCTGTTGCTCTGATTTCACGGGATGCCACCTGCCACTATAAGCAGAGCAGCTGAGCACACCAGCAGGGCACTAAAGCAGCAGGTGCTGCATTTACCTGCACTGACTCTAACTGTCCAGGGAAAAGAGACAAGGAAAATCCAGCAAATACTATTAAATGCACAAATACCTAAAATCATTCTCTGTCCAACTCTGCAGCTCACAATAAAAGCAAGAGCAGTGTCAGAAATGCTAAGGTTGTTGTATCTGCTCCATGGGCATTAATGTTTGTCTGCTGTAAGTTTAATGGAACTTACATGGAGGAATGAAGAGACTGCCTGGTGTACTTTGTGTGTCATGTTCCACTTCTAGACTGGAGCTGCTGTGTATTTAAATACCTTGCTATTGTTTTTCCCCAGCACACATTACCATTATTAGCTAAGAAATCCTATACGTTGTTTCAAAACAAGAATAAACAAAGTTGTTACTGATTGACAAAAGTCACATAACAACTAAACCCAAACAGCAACTGTTCATAGAAGAATGATAAGTTAAAAGTCAATCGGTACCACTGTTGGTTTTACCCCTTAAGATAATTCTAGATTGTCCAAGATTTATATTTATATGTCCGAGATTTATATTTATATATCTATCTGAAAGACCAAGCTCAAATTCTCTAAAAGTCTGAGCTACTCTGCTGAGGAAACTACAGACAAAGGGAACCATTTCCGTGATAGACTCCAAACAGGGAAGCTGCAGGAAAGTTTTCAATAAACAGCTGGCTTTATCAGTCAGACCACAAAGCTGAGAAATTCTCTTTCTGTCTATATCAAATGAAGCAGCAGTTTGGTAAGAAGCTACAGAAAAAGTGCGTGTAGTCAGCAACCAATCCATTGTAAATTTAAAAACCCTGCACTGAAATCTGTCCTGTGAAATGGTCTAAAATCCAGGAAAGCAGTAAATCCTTCAAATAAACAACCAAGTTAGACCAAGTCTAACTACTGGCCGCTAAAAAGGGCTACTCTAGTTTAAGAGTCTTCTTCCAGCTCTTAAACATATCAGCTTGGAACACTAGGCAATGATCATCGTAAGGCACAGGGTGCAGGCTCAAACAACCATAGTTACAAAGTGTCATTCTATTAGTCAGTGATTAAAGTCATTAAAGTGTCATTCTATTAGTCAGTGATTTCATTCAAATAGTTTGCATCCATTACAAGATAAATTCTCCTTATTCCCTCCTCTTGTTATAAGTTCCACCAACAATTTCAAGTTTAGTAATAATTCAGTCAAATGCTCAGCAATGAAGGTCACAGAAAAATCAAACATATCTTCATGTATCAAATATATAGAACAATTCTCAAGACACTCATTTTAGTGCAAGTCAACTCCGATATGCCTGCAGAAAAAAAGTGACAAAAATACCTGTGTTAGCTTTAGGTAACTGCTATACTATACACAGGCAATTGTTCTTTTTCAGGGTTAGCATGGTGCAGAAAGGGCAAGCACACAGCAAAGCAGTGATGAAGTGATTACTGTGATTAAGATACATAACTAACTTCCACTACGGAAAAAAGTGATGGAAAGATTTCCATCTGTCTTCACATTCACTTAAAAGAAACAACAAAAAGACTTCAATGCTCCTCAAGGGCTTGCACTAACAAGGATGTCTGGATGTCCTCTCTACTCAAAAATCCTTCTCATATACTGCAGAAAAAGTTAGAAGAGCCCAGAGGTTAGACTTGTCCAGCAAGCAGATGCTCCCTATCTCTTAATTAAGGTTCATTAATCTTCACCGGCACTACTCTTCAATCCCCTTTTCTTGCTTGCCAAAATTTCCATGCCATTTTCTTTAAAAGGAAAAGAAACCTGAATGATAATTGACAATTCTCAAAATCAATCTCCCTTCTTCCCATCCTGTTCACTGCATTTTTTCTGCCAATGATTTTGAAAAGCAAAGTTAAAGGCCCAGTTCAGTGATTACTGTGTCATCACTTTTGACTATTTAGCTCTTATGAAAACAGATCAGAAGGGCTATTAGATACTTAGTCTTTTCATGCACATGAAAAATGCCCCACTTGATTTTATTGCAATTACTCAGAAGTAAATATTCAGAGAACTTTTTGCTCTATTTAGAACCACAGTTTGATTCCCAGGTTTGCTCAAGCTTAAGTGGGGATGCAATGGAATGCCTGCTGAATTCCCAACTCAAGTGACCTCAAGTACATGCAAGAGCAGCAAGTTTCAGTCATTTCACTTAGATGTTGATTTTCAAACAGGAACGAATTCCCTTCGCTAACTGTAAAAACACAAGCATTTGCTAATTGCACAGACATATTCACTTCCCTAAAACTGCACAGAATCATTGCTTAAATACAACTCTAGATTGAAATTGACAAAGTAATTTTACAAACTAATTAGATTAGGCATCTAACAAGTTTACTGGCACTATACAAAAATATTTACAAAGTAGAGCACACTAAAAACAATGGAGTAATAGGTACATCTCTAACATACGCTTGTATTTGCCCAGTTTATACAACAGTAAAAGTGAAGAACCATTTTGGAAAATAACAGCCGAGCAGCAATGTCAGCTCTTCCTTCTCCAAGTTTAGACGCTACTAGTAGAAAAGCAATTAAATACAATCTACTACTTGCTCAGATGGCTGACTTAGTGAAGGGTTATAAACCATGAAGTGAAATTGGGTGAATCCTGGAGTTTTATTACACGCAGCACCTAGGACAGAAAGAAAGAAGGAAGTAAGACATCCTACATTTAGGATTAGCATCTGTATCATTGCACTTTATCATCTAAAGACATTCTACCACAATGGTGTAATTATCCATTTAAAATTTAATTCAAGATGTCTCAAAACTATTTTATCTTGAAGTAAAGATACAGGGCTACTGACTGCTGCTGTAGTGCAATTAATGCTCTTATAATTCAAAATGGCAACATAAGCTAGGAAGAAAAAACATATCTCACTCTTGATTAACGTAATGAATTCAGCAAGCTCTAATCTCCCAAACACAGAACTATGGGAAATAAAAGATCAAAACCCAGCATAAAGTAGTCTAATTCAATAAGCTGTGTTGATTAGCAAATTGTATTTTCTACTGATCTAAGAGTTCACTAATAAGATGCCGGCACAGGGACTGATCTTGGGCTGCTTTGAAGCTGCCTTGAGCTGTCACAGTCTCACTGGCTTATGCTGTAGCTAGGGGAGGAACAGGCATTTGTTTTTAAACCTTCAAATTAATCACAGACAGTCTAAGGCAACACATTAAGGTTGTAAGGGCTTTTGATTCTTACTAAAACTTACAGACATTTCTGTGAAAGCCTAACACATCAAAATACAACGGAATAATTAAAATACTTTAAAACCAACACTAGGACAGCAGCCCTGATCACCAGCACTTGAAATTATTAAGAACAGCTCTGTTGCAGTGGTTAAAGCCTAAATCATGACTGCTGCCCTGGAGTCCTTCTTCACTTCTGTGTTTCTGTGAGTCTGAGTGCTTGCAGCTGCACATACATACCATAACTTCCAGTCGTATTGGCACATATAACAGCGCCAAAGAACTTCGGTGCATATTTCCGGATTCTGGAAATAACTTTCTGACAGGCTACTGTTGGGTCTGTTCCCATCCTCATATACTCCACAGCTTGATAGCTAAAACAAAGCAATTCCACACCCAGAGTTAGCCTTAAGTTACACACACCAAAAATACAATTGAGATCTCAATTTCTTCAAATAACGGAAAAGGGGCTTTTAAGTTCAAGTAACTTTCAAGTAACTTTTAGTCGTATGTCACAGAATATTAATAGGCAATTTCCTCTTAGTTCCTAAGACTGGTTTGGAATAACTTGAAAAAAGTCCTCTCAGAGGACTGAAACACATATGAATATCCATTTGCTAGCAAGGATTTATAAGAGCCGGAGTTTCTTAACCAATACACTTCATACAAACATCAGCGTCTGTTACGTTCAGCAAGGACTTCCATAATGCATTACCCTTGAAATCAGCCCACAAAGATGGCTTTGCCAAAGATGGCAAAGATAAGCCCACAAAGACTCAGAAAATAATGAAAAACAACTGCATTTTGTACAGGTTAGGCAACCATGCACTACAACATCTCTCTTCTTAATGCAGACTAGGCACCAATTACATAAAATGCAATACAATTACACCACACACTTACAAGCAAGCCAAGACTCCCTCCTCAGCATTCCTACACTTTATGACACTTATTTCCCCATACACACTTAAGAGGAAGAAGTCTGTCAGTTCTGTTAGAGACCATGCAGATTAGGAATACACTCACTGCTACGGCCCATTTACTTCCAGACTGACAGGACTGAGGCAATGAGAGTTTCTTAAATATCTGGGTGACTAAAGTCCTTTGTTTCTCTTAAGACAGCTTGTAGGGACAATTTGATTCTGCTCCTGTTCGTTTTCATTTCATTCATTTTTACCCATACTTCTGCCCTCCACGTTGCCTTTTCAATTACTTGATTTGCTCAGTTCACTTTTGGTTAGAGAAAGCCAGCAAAGTCTGAAGACAAACCTGGGTAAGAAGCGCATCATGATGTCCCCGTCTCCAGTGGCCGCAGCTCCTCCAGCTGTACTGTCAGCGTAAGCTCCTGCTCCAGCTATTGGAGAGTCTCCTACACGGCTGCAGGGAACAATGGAATGAAATATTAAATATATATATGCATGTCTGTGTATGTGTGCTTATATATATGTATGTGTGTGTGTGCATATATATGCGTATACATATGCATATCTAAATAAACATATATAAAAATAAATTCTGTGGGAGAATATTGGGATATAGCTTACTAATTCAGTAGGGTTGCATTAACGTAGTTCTTTGCCTAATACTTACTGGAAAGTTCTCATGACTTACACACCAATTTACCAACTTCACTGCCTCCAGCTGTGTTAGTGTTAAACACACAGGAGAATAGAAGAGGGAAGGAGGTCACTACTGCAGCCACAGGTCTTGTCTTAATGCTACTGATGAAACTACTCTGTGATACCCTGCTTGACCTCCAGGCTTAATCGACCTCCAGAAACACATTCTGGCGGGTTCACTAAGTCCTCCAGCTGGGGCAGAAAGGTTTAGTCAGTCACTGCAGACACTGGCATCTTCAGTAATTCTTCTTAAATCCAAAAAGATACCTGACTGTTGACAGACAAGACTCCTGGCCACGGAGGGAAAAAACCTCCCTCGAAGTAAAAAACACAAGCCACGGGCCGTGATTCTGTGTACATTTCTTTGCAGACTGAGCACCTTTTCAAGATGCTCATTCCTCTCTGGTGACTTACCTTAACGTTGTGCCAAATCATTTTCCAGCTTAAGCAGTTTCTCAGTACTCAAATTCACAGAGACAGGAAAGGTCATTTTGTGACAGTCACAGTCTAAAACATCCACTGTCACAAGTATGCCCAGCTTTGTTCTAAACCCACAGATACTAACCCTGGAATTTTGTGGATTGCACCATTAGTAGATGTCCCAGAAGCAATGGTTCCACTTTCACCAATTACAATCATACCTAAAATTTCCAATAAGGGATAAGATGAACTCAGAAGGGATAAAGCAAACTCATATCACATCTGATATGTTTGTTAAACTGATACTCTAGTTATCATGAACTAGAACTGTGATATCCAGACTTCAAAATTAGTGAACAAGTTATTAAAAGTTCTTTATAAAATGTGTGGAAAGCTTCAAATGGATTGCAATAGTCTAAAAAGGAATTATTAAACAGCAACATAGGAGTTATTTCAGAGTGGCACATGACACTCTCTGTGAAGCCAATATCTCTTGATATGCAACTACGTGGCCTGGTAAAGAACTAGGAGCTACAGGACTGCATTGGTACCATCAGAGCAACAAAGTTTGGAAATTTAATAAACAGTGCTTGAAATAAATAGGAAAAGAAAATAATCAGAGAGGCAGGCTGAAATACAGCCTACCCAAGTAAAAAGCTACAGTCACACAGGTGGCTGAGCCCACCCCGCAGTAGTTTCATGCTGATGAGGAAGCTGCTGCATCATATTGAAACAGGCTGGGATCAGCTGCTGCTCCACTGGGCAAGACTTCCCCTCTTTAAGGCAGGGCAGCAACTGCTGCTGACAGCAATTTCAGAACACACTGAGAGCAAGGAAGCAGAATTCAAACAGTTGAATTCTGGGTCTCTGATCACACTTAGCATCTCCTCAGAGAAAAAGGGTTTTCTAATCAGTAGAAGCCAAAAGCTGAAGCTGGCTCTACTGCCATCATTAGCCTCTGCAAAGAGGCTGGAAGGACATCTGTTCCCATTCTGAATGAAAGCACTTTTCAAAATCACCCAAGGAGATGTTTCACATCTAAAACACTGGGATAAGAGAACAAAGTAGGAGTATAAATAAAATGCCAATATATACTACAAAACAGTTTAAGACTGCATAATGATGCATCAACTCCTGATTGACCTCTCAACCTGACACACTATAATTGAGTTTCCTAACACATAACAAAAATTGCACATCCTATTAAAGAAAAATTCTTAAATTGGTAAACCTGACTTCTGTAGAACATTAATTCCCTATTAGTAGCAATAGGAAAAGCAAAGACAACCAGCACTTGAAATGACTTATTAATTCTTGATATCGAGATTAGTCAGATAAAAGGTTCTGAATCGCTAAGTTGAGAAAAAAAAACGTAACCTGAAACAAAATGTGTAAGTTTTAGGATGACAACGAATAAAAAGCCTTGAAAGGCAGGAATCCAACTGCTCCATTCCACCCCTATAGTGTCTGCTGCCTCTGCCAGATCTGCTCGTGAATTAGCTGACAGACTGAGCACTCACGGTTCTCCTTCAGTAGGCTCAGAGAAGTCCCTGGGATCACTGCTGCTAACCTGTTTTAAGCTTATCAGTTGCTGTAGAAACTTACTGCTCTGGTTAAAAGCCAGAATGGAAGTAAAACAGAACTAGGGCTTATTTTGTAAGCTTAAAGACAGTTAGACAAACATTTCTCTTGGCAAGCACTAACCTAGAGCTCATTTCTCCCCCCTCCACAAAACATTGTTAAGTTGGGCTTAGTGGGGAGATTTGCCTCAAGCCAGATGTATTTCAAATATCAAGGCTAAAAATAACCAACACTAACATTTCTAACGACCCATAACTGCCCAAACATCTGTGCCAGGACATCTGAAGGAGAAGCAGTGGGGCAAGGAACACAAAATGCAGCAGGTGCATATACAGGCAGCACACTTCAGAGTAAGTCAAAAAAAAAAAGAAAAAAAGAATAGCTATATAAAAAGCCTATTTTATCTAAGAACTCCTAGGTATTCTATCACAGCACAAATAACAAGTTTGAAACCACTATAAAACATAAAACATTGCCTATAAAATATTTTTAATTACAATCATCACAATTTAATCAGAGGAATAAGAAAAATAACATCAGAGTTAATGAAAGTTGTTACCAATAGTATCGTGATTATGAACGCTTATTCTTCTCTGGGAGCTGATCCAGTCTTCCTTACAAATTACTTTTTCAGTCTTTTTGTATGGTCCACAAGATTTTGAAGAGTCTGGTACTACATTCTGTAATTATTTCATTATTTGAAAGGACAATATATTATGCTTCATCACAAATAAATTTAACTCTATTTACAATGTACTACGCAAACAGCAGATGCCCAATTCTTCAATTATACAGCTCTACTGAACTTTGAATGCTTTGCTCAAAGAATGATGACTGCTTGGGGGGGGGTAGGGAGGCATGCACAACATGCATATTTAACATGGACTGCCGCACTGATTTAATGTCTTTACAAGTCTGCACAACTCAAGACTGTATGTGGAAGAAACAAGACCTTAATTACTACTGTGAAATTTCCTTTAAGAAATTTATACATGCATCAAAAAATACAATAACTGCTTAGTCTAGTTTGCCCAGATGTGGGGGGGGGGAGGAGAAAAAAAAAAAAAAAACCAAACAAACAACAACCACAAAAACACACCACCAAAAAACCAACAAATCTCCAAAACCAAAACATAGCAGCAAATTCAAACTCAGGTAGATTTAAAAAAAAAAGAAAGTGGAAGACACACACAGTATCTGAACCTACCAAACATTTGACAGGTTTCGTCATGCATGTTAAACAAACCCTTCTCTGCCACCCTGCTATGAAGCACAACCTCCCTATGCAAGGGAGCGGCAACGCTGCGCGACTCGCTCTGCGACCCGCTGCACGGCCACCCTGTACTCTACCTTCCAGTAGTTTGGCTGGCAGCTCTGGTTAAGCCACTCTGAAAACATCGAGAGAGATTTTGGGGTAGTCAAATCTTCATATGGGAACCCCATCCTTACAGCAAATAGGGAGGCTATAAAAACAAAACAAGGAAAACAAAAGTAATGTATTTGTGTTTTCATATATCTTACAGCAAAGATTTCATATAATATCTAGGAATCAAGAAATTTGCTATTCACTAGCTATACAGGGACAAAAAAATATTTCTTCAGAGTAGTGTCAACTATTCCAGTGTACAACTGCAGTACCTAATTCCCTCATTACCACTGCCATCAAATTTCCTAGGTTCACTGTAACTCTGTTAGCACATGCAAATTGTATCACTGAAACAGCAAAAAAAAACAATTTTGTTAATCAACTGGGAGCAAGAATAATCTGTGCTTTGTTTCACAGAAATACTTAAATAAAAGCAAACAATGTTACATTTTACTTATAAAGTTAGACTTTTTTTTATAAAAGTGTGAGTAGCAGAGATAGTGGCATAACATTTGCTACTAAAACACTGATTTTTACAGTAATCCATCCATCATGTGAGAAGGCATTACACTTCTTTCTTGCAGCTTTAAAAGTGACTGTTTCCCAGTTTTGAAAATTAATACAGTACGAAACAAGAGAGCAGAAAATATCACAAATAAGGGAAGACTGCTTCACTTCTAGGAAACAATACAGCAAAATAAACTGAAAAAAAAGAAAGCAATTCCTTTCATTTTAGTTATAGCTACCTTTGATATTACCTAGTAACAGTGTTGCTAAATTTAGATGTTCTATGATTTTTTTTTCTTTTTAGAATAAAAGGGACACACTAAAAGTCTGTTTGCACTCAGGGTAAGGCTCATGTAATAGAAAACTGACATCTTCAGTGACACTGTTCCTCACATTCCTATTTCTGGAACAAACAAGCAAGCTTTCTTTAAAAAAAAAAAAAGATAAAACTGCTTCTTTTCAGTCAGTCATCCTTTCACAACTTTTGCAGCCTTGTTTCTGTTCTTTGAACTTTCCGCTTAGATCCTGGCCTAAGTATTACCAAGTCATAGAAAGGAAGAGGTCAGACACACTATGATTATGAAACTTTCCAATCTATTGCAGACAGACCTGAAAACTTCTCAGCAAACAATAACCACAAGAAAAATGTTGTTCCCACTTGTGATCATTCTGCACAGTGTCCCTCACCACATTTAGTTCTAAGTTGCTATACACACTCCACACTGCTGCCTTTCTAAGTCCTGTCCTGCAGATAATGAAGTCGCTCTTTCAAAACTACAGGAATTGGTCAGTGCTGGTATCTGTTCAACAAAAGCTACACTGATATGGACCTAAAGTTCTTGTTTGTTTTTCGTCTTTCTATATAGACCCGTTGCCACTATAAAACTCAGGTTAAATACATACCAGTTTTGGTTATATTCTGGTTTATAACTATAACAGCACGACTAGGAAGAACATCAGGTTCAAGGGTTTTTTTTCCTTTGCTCAAGGCAAGTTATACCTGGAATCCTCTTCCTAGAGGCCGGCTCAAGCTTTCAGGACAATTTGTGATTAGCTAAAGATTGTTTGCTTATAACCCACAGTATCACCTTCCTTACACAATAACATAAAATTATTCATTCACCTCCTCAGTTTTGCATGGTCTTTCAAAAGCCTCTCATGTTTTTGAGAGCACGGGAATAGCCTATATGATATAGGCTGCACTGTGTGCAAGTGATGATGTGCGACTTCAGCACCTATCACGTTTGAACAACTCTGCTCTGTGCTCAACTATATTACCTCTCACAGCCTCTCACTTTTTCATTTCCAGATCTAGAACCTCGTGACTCTCAATCAGCCATTTTTAATCTACACTGGCTGGTTTCTTTTTCTTCTACACTGAAAACATCAAGAATGAAATAAATTCAAAGAGACAGCTAGAAAGACAGATGCAGACTTTAGTAATGCTTTCAAATTTTATTGTTTCTCAGAGATACTACTTGTTTTTAATAACAGGTACTTTCATTTTCCTTGCACTGAGATATAAGACTACGAAAGGTTCTAAACAAGGTTATCAAAACATGAAAAATACACCTTCTTCCTTAAGTTCTCTTTGTACAAAAGGTTTAAGACACCTTCACTTCAATTTTTAAGCCAAAGCAAATAGACCTGTGAAGACTATTTAGGTATCATGGCACTCAGAGAGGTCCGACTGCTTGCAAAAGTCTCACCAAAGCCACTCATAATCTGAACAGGGTCTACTACCTGAACTAGTCAGAATCTGCAAATCCATCTCTCTCTCAATCCTCCTGTCAAACACAATCATCTCCTCTATTTGCCCTACTTTACTCTATCCAAAAAACCCACTGTTAAACCTACTTCTCTATCATTCAGTACACATTAATTCCTTCAAGAACCTTTTATCTTTTTTTTTTTTTTTATCAAAGTACTTGACTCACCTTTACAGCTCAGATAATGTCACTTCTTTTTAAATCTAAACTCCTACACCTGTCTCCACAAGCTTCTCTTTTAAAGATAATATTATTCCATCAGCAATAGTTCCTATTTTTAACCCACAACTGTTCCTCGAGTTTGCTAGCACTTATGTGACGTGCCTTGGAGTATCAGCCTCTGAGGTTTGTTTTGAGCAAAACAAACAAACAAACAAAATCCTCAGGCCCTCACTAATACCTTTAAACTATCAAATACAATAATAGTACTTAATATACACTAAAGCAGCCATATGCAACTCTACAGTTTATTAATTCTCTGATTATTTAGAAACAGTTACTCCATTGTTTTAAATGAAAGGTGTTTAAATTGTGTCAAATTTAGTGATATTATTAAGGCCTCAGGTTTACAACATAGTATGTGCAGCTGAATCGGTGAATAGACCATGAAATTATTTTTCCTTTAATGTGGAAGAAGTGAAATAAAACACAATTCATACAAATGCAATAAAGTTGACAGAGGAAATATTTCAGAATTATTAGAGTATGTTCACTTGACTGTCAGGGAATCTCAACCCATGTTCCTGAGATAAACATATAGCAATTGTAACTATAATAGGCACAGTTTCAAGACGCAGCTAAGACTTGGAAGCAGTTAAGGTAATAATTACCTGACTCTCCCACTAATAATGTATGCTTAGTGTGTTCAATGACTTTTCTTGCTACACCAATGGCATTTTTTACACGTCTCAGATCTGCCACTGCCCCAACTTCCATAGTGTTGCTGAAAACAAGAAAAATTTAACTTAGATCAAGTTAATTAAAAAAAAATCACAAATGTTCTTATATTTTTATTAAAACAAAATGTGTTCCAATATAAATTAGAAAGTTTGCTACTATATTGCTTTAATTATTCTATGGTAAACAGCCATGGACAGATGGTATCACACTAGTAGGGTAAAATTTCATATATAACACAACTTCCTTGCACTGACTGGGGAGGAGGGAGGTATTATTGAAGTAGCAACAACTGCAGGCAAAATAATACTTTATTAGTAGTAACTATTTAAGAGTAGTAGCTATTTAATTACATAAAATCATGAACCTAATAAACACCTGCCATTCTTTTTGGAGCAGGATGGGTCAGAAGAGTAAGTAAGGAATGGAAGACAGGATTGCTACATAGCATAAATATTTATAGAATAAATCTAAAGAGAAAACTTATGATACTACAAGCATGAAAACTGTGCCTTTGTTACCATCTGCCTTTATTTTAGCTGCTGTATCTACAGCTGAGCTATTGCACTGCATGTTCACATATAATAACAAACATACTTAGTTACTCTTCCACCAGTTACGCATATATTTTTTTCTAGTTCTACAAGTTAATGTTTTAACTTGTCCAAACTCTTCCCTAAACCAACAGATCTCTGTAACAACTCTTGTATTAAAGGGTAGCAAAGATCATACGGACTGTTCTTCCCACCGTGCAGCCCCCTTACCCATCCATAATCATTGCATCCAGTGTCGTTTCTCCACTTTCATCCGGACTTCCTCCATATCCCACGCTCCCGTCACACTGGTCCATCTCACACTGAGCACAGCCTTTTTCAACTGCGTCCAGCTCGGAGCCGCCCATCTGTAACACTCTCCACGCTATAAACAACACAAATAATTGTCAGTGAAAACAGTTTCCACAACTGCATTAAGAATGTTTTAAAGATAGATGCTATGAAGTGGCATTATGTAACCAAAGTAAAATGTTATGTACAAATGAAACACATATGTTTAAAAGACCAAAACATAAAATATTACCTCTCTACATATCAATTCGCATGCATATTTGATCAGTGTTTCTGGTAATTTGAGGTTTTTTTCCCCATTTTTAATTTGGAAAGGTATTTAAAAAAATCTCTATTGTTTATTATTACAGAAATTCTCCATATTAAATAAACTCCCCTGTCCAAGGCTTTCCCCTGTCCAGGGCTTTAATCAATCTCTAAAGTCTTTTCTGTTTTTTTGGGGGGACTGGGAGGAGAACAAGGAAGAATAAAAAGAGAAGATTTAGCCAAACTCATATCTCAAAGACGACAAACAAGTCACAATGAACAGCTCTCAAAAAATTCCTCAGTCTTTAGCAGTGCTAAGGGGCCAGCCACAGAAAATACACGGATTACACATTTAGACCTAGTATTTACAACAATACATAGAAGCAAAAGGAAACCCAATCCAAGATAAATAATCAATAGCAGTGCCCACTTTCTCCTACTCAGCCCTCAGGAGATGCCTTCCACCTCTCTACCACGTAGCTGGTTCCGTGAGTCATCCCACACTTGTCAGACACGACTCTAACAAACCGGCCCTGCAGGCTCTGCTCCCGAGAGCCGCCTTGCTCCACAAGATCAGGCCTCGGGCAAGGTTTCCCGAGGCACGGGAGCACTGAGGGCTGCCTCCACGGGAGGCTCCGCTCGGCCCAGCTCCTCTTAGCAGCTGCAAACTATCAGCTGCAAACTATCAGCTTGTCTCAACCTCCCCCCAAACCCTTCACAAACTCTGCCAGCAACTGCACAAAATTGGCAGGTTGTCTGAAGGAAAAAATAATACTTAGCACATGCTTGTCTGCGCAGCAACCTCCAGGGTGAGCAGGACTGTTCCAACCCCAATTACCTTTTCTTTCAGACACTGCCCTATGTTGGCAATAAAAGGTCTTGTTTCCAAGACAAGGGTTTCAGCTCTGACCTGCCCAGGGCTCCAGGCAGCCCCTTTCCCCAGCAAGGGGCACCACAAGGGGTTATCTACAGCCTCGCAGGGGTGACACCGCAAGGGGTTATCTACAGCCTCGCTGGGGAGACCCAGCCCGTTTCCTAGTCACTATCCACAAGCAGTTTCCAGCGGCAGAGCTGCCACAGAAAAAGAAACAACTGTCTTGACCATTAGTATACTTCACAGTACAACCAAGATCAAAAATACAATAGCGTTATCTAAATCTTCAAGCAGGAAGCACAAGTACCACAGACACTACTAAAAATAAACCGGTAGTTTGTACAGCAGCAGCATAAACCACGTTATTAGGGTTAAAATATGCATGTATTTTAAACGTAGCTTTCTCACTAGTTTTCACAGAACCCCTTTCACTCGGCTGGGAGCCGGGGCTGCCTCGGCACGCAGTAAGGCCTTGTTTGCACAGTTCCCGCCCTGGTAACTCTGCTGCCCTTTCCAACGCTTTGGGTTTTTTTTTTTTTTTTTTTCTCAACATTTTTGCCCTTTTTAAGCCGGCACCAGCAGCCTCCGCCCCGCGGCACCCAGCCGGAAGGAGCCCCCGGGCAGCCCACACCTGTCTCCGTGGCCTTCCCAAACGCCCAGGTGTTCACGACCAGCGGCAGCGCAGCCGAGGCGGCCGCCATGTGCAGCGCCACGAGGAGGAACCGCAGCGCCACGAGGAGGAACCGCAGCCCCCCGCCCGCCGCCATCGCTCCGGCCCCGGCCCCGGCCCCGGCCCGCCCCGTCTCCGCCCGCCCTCCTCCCGCGGCGGCGCGTCGCGCATGCGCCGCCGCGGGCCGCGGCCGTTGGGGCGGGGCTGAGTGCAGAGCACCCGCGCGTGACCATTTGTCGAAAAAGAGACCAAATCATCTATATACATATATATATATATGTAGTATGTATCCACACACAAACTTGTGAGATTCCCAAGCACTGCTGTCTTGTCACCTGTTTTGCTAAAAATATTTTGCTTTGTGGCACAGGAATGTTTTCTCTGCTGGAGATATTGAGTCTTCCAGGGTAAATAGTTCACCAAATAAAAAAGTCCTGAGGTGTCCTATAGTTGACTAATCCTGACAGCACCATTCTGGCACCTGACTTCAAACTGGTTTTGGTAGCTTAGCCCATATGACGTGTTGCAGTAGCAGTCCAAGCACATCTACAAGCTGATGCGCTGGTCTTGTGTCTACATAATTCATGGGAAGGAGGGAGAGGAAATACTTGCACCCCATGCGTGGCAAGTCTGCAGGCACGCGGAAATTGCAAGTATACCCAAGCTGCTTTAAAAAACCTGCAGCAATCTTACTTCTGTTTTACCGAAAGCATCCACCAACTTCGGCATGAAACAGTAGTCACAGAACAAGTGTATTTTGCTTTATTACAGAGGTCATGGAATAATAAAATACTTTGGTTTTGGATTTGGATTTAGTAATAACTTGGTCTGGGTTACAGCCAGTTCCCAAAAGCAAAGCTACCAGTAGTCTAGAGAAACCTTTTCTCAGGTAAATGCTGCTAGCTCTTTCTGATACTAATGCTCTTATATCTGTCACATCTCTGCGTAAGGCTTTTAGGGAAAAGAAAATAAAGATGTGAGTTAAGGCTAACTAAAAGAAAACAGAAAAAAAAAAAAAGGCAAAATATGAGGGAACTATCAGGAATGTTTTTCCATGATTGACAAGACAAACATTATCAAACATCCTTCTAAACTTGATGCATTTTCTTCAAATATTTTTTTCATTTTAAAAGGCAAATAAGGGACCATTATGAAGCGAGAAGACTTAGATATGGGAATCGTCCAAAGGAAAATATTGGCTGTGATGGATGCATCTGCAGGAGGAGCCTGAAGGACTGTGGAGAAGATCCTGTGTGGGACTTGGCACTGGAGAACGTTACACTTTGAGGCTCATATAGAAACACAGTTGATTTCATTTCGGTGATGTTCTCTCTAACTGGCATTCAAAACTGAATGACTTCCAGCTATAAGTAGATGCAGTGATGAATCTTTTACACCGGCAGTGAAAATACAGCTCAAGCTGACTTTTCTAATACTGTTAAATTGTGGACCATAGCTAAGATAAACGGTGCGCCCAGTCGACATAAGTGTCCCTGCTGCTGAAAGCAAATCAACGAGTCTATGAACAGAAACTTTCTTCTAATGTGTAATATAGAGGCAATATTCTACTGGGAGCCTTCTGCGGACAGGAGGCATCTGTGAGTAACTGTGGGAAAACTGCTTGAGAAAGGGGAAATTAGAGAAAAACTAGGGCCTAGCAGAAGTTATGGCATTACAGAGGTTTGCTTTGGGTGAGAGACAGTTACCACTTCCAGGATGGTTGGTATGCACGGCATCTACTTCTCCACAATTCCCTCAGCAACACAATCTGCCCTCCAAGCACACACTAAAAAAAGTAAATAAAGAGTGCAGCAGAATGGAGACACCATGGCCAAACTCTGTTGCATTCCCTGTGGAGATGGCAATCTGGTGGTGCTGTGCAGACTAGGAGTGAGTGGAAGGTAGAATGGAGTGAAGACACTGTGTCCAAACTCTGTTGTACTCCGTGCAGAGTTGGCAACATGGGCATACCACACAGCTGATAAGCCACATAGTATGATAAGATGTCTGGTGCTGGATCAACAATGGAGGCAGATCAGTCCCTTCGGATGGACTTTGCTTCAACTTCTCATTTGAACCTCATTAGATTGCCAACATACACCCCCATCCCAAAAGTTACCTGCCTCCAAGGAATGACCCCTCCTCACTGGGCACGCACTCTAGAATTTCTGTTGAGAGACTTATTAACCAATGAGTAACAAAATTAAGTATAGCTCAAGTCACTCAAGATCCACCTCAATGTAAAAAGTTATAAAACGTGAACTAAGGAGGGAAGAAGTTGGAGGGAAGATTCCATTGTAACTTCTGGAATTGGTCAAGGGCATAAACCCCTTTCCTCCCCTTGGACCAGGACACCACCTGAGGAGACTCCTTGAAGTTGAGAGCCCTCTCCCGCCTTGGGTGAGTGATGATTGCACATTTGTACATTAGAAGCTAGCTAAGAATCCCACGCTGTAGTAGAGAATTTCCTGTTCTGACATCTGAAACCTGCTTTGTAAATGTTGCATTTGAATATATGTGAACTTGACTACTTGTTTTAAAGGCAGTTGTACCTATAGTCCACAGACTATTTGTGATATAGTCTGGTGCTCTCAGTCGGGCGTGCAGCTACCACAGTATTTGGTATCCCTGTTAAGAGATGAGTCCAGCTGCAGTCCCACTAACCTCTGAGGATCAACTGGAATGCAGGGGGATTCATCTCTTACCAAATTAGCCCCCCCTTCAAACTGCAACATGAACTACACCAGAGAACACTGTGATTGAATGGAACCGAGTAATTAAAAAAAAATCACCTCTTTCACTGGAAGTGTCTGTTCCTACAGCAGCCCAATTCTGACCTCAATTATATCTAGGTAACCTTCTCTAGCACCGTCTGTTCAAAAAAGCATGCCTACCTTCTCTTTGCTTTCTCAGATATTACCTATGTGTGTTTTGAACTCTAATTACAATATCGTTGTGTTTGCAATTTGCATTTTTTGTCTTGATTTTACTTAGATTTTCTACACATGTAAACACAAGAAGAACAAATCTCAGAATCATTTTTTGATAAAAGTAAACAATTAATTGTTTGGTTAGCGTCCAATGTAGAAATTTGCGTGGCTGTGAATGTTTTATGACACAGGATTTTGAATCCATCTTACTGCTAATTAAAATACATTTTTAAATGACCCTTTTTTGTTATGCTGTCATTTGGGTGTATTTATGATAGCACTGCCCTCTTATTCTTTTTTCTTACAGTGCCTTTCATATCACCTTCTTACATATATTCTCTCATTCACTGAATGGCACTGGAAAGCCCAGAAAACTATATTTGCAGGGAAGGTCTCTATCATGCATCTCTTAAATCCTCTGAGAAAGACCTCTATGCTCTCTCGCATGCTGGAGAAAATCCATCTATAAATATTTTTAAAGCTACCTCCTTAAGCTACTCCAAATTCTACTTAAAACACAACATCAGTATGAGGTCTATCGAAGTATCAATATATAACATTCTCAGCTTCCAATTTTGTATCCATATTTTCATGTGATCCCCAACAGTCTTTTTCCCTGTGTATATTTTGTCTTTTACTTACACTATAAAGCATCAATTTGCTTTTAGCCTGCATGGACATTGTAAGTTGCTTTAGGAATGAGTTGGCATTTTATTTTATGTTTTTACAGCACATTGACAAGACATTAATGAGCATTTTATATATATAAATATATGGAGTAAAAAATACTGCAGGTGCTAACTATAATAATCAGTTATTCCTAGTAAATAATTATTAATCATTTTTCCATTGTTAAACTTGATTTTGTTACCTGTCTGTCTTTTAGGAGCTCGCCAGAGTTACCTTCTTTACTTTGTGACCTCTGGGTAACTGGACCTCTGGGTGGGATACCCCCCACCAGGGTATCCTGGTGTCACAGGATAATGTTTTCTTACCGTATTATTTTGGCCTACTATGTTTTGTCTGAAAACAAGTTGTATGGAGTGTATTATATATGTATCAATTGTAATTGCCATACTGGTCCACTTTGGTGATAAAGTTGTCATATGGAGCATGTGACGGACAACTTTACATTGTCAGGACTGCTTTTTGATTACAGCTGCTTGTGGCTTTATGATTTTTCATAAAAGTGATCCAAGGTAATTACAAAGCTGTCGGATAACTACAGAAAGTTAGTTTTTGCTTCCTTCAACTCTGAAAGTTACCTTGACCTTGATCATACTTAATGTTCTCAGTGTTGAAAGGAAGGTAAACAGAAACTTGGACTGCATGAGCAGTATTTTAGCAGTGTGGCAGGTTATGGCATCCACGTCTGTTTTGTGTGCTTTGGGTACCTATACCAGGATTTGCAAACAGGATCTGCATCGAGTTATGATTACCTAACACTGGAGAATACATCAGTTAATTTACAATGAGAGCTTACAATGCAAAGTCACAAGTTGTGACTTTGAAATGGAGATTGTAGGATGCCTATGCAGAGTGCTCTGCTCAAGTTAATTCCTCCTACCTCTTTGTTAGGCTGCAGAAATGCCCATTTCTTGTTTTTCGCTGTTAGTCTGCTTATAGCTGTGTCATATAACGGGTTCTGATTGCACGTCTCGTACTGACATCCGTGTACACAAAGCTTGCAGTGGTCTCACAGCCTTGTAGTTTTCAGCATAAATGTGGCCGAAAAACCTGATAACCAGATTTTAAGAATGAGGCAGGGGTAAGGAGCTAGTTCCTGCTTCGTGATGTCTGAACTGAATCTGCTCTGCAGCTCTTCTAAGCTGCTGAAGAAGTGTACAATTCAGGTCAAAGTCATTTTGAGAATCTATTTCAGCAATGCAGCAACTATTAAATTACTGTCCTTTGGAAGTTCCACTGGACTCTGATACTAACCACAGGGGTTATTAAGTGGGAAATACATCTTTCCTTTGGCTTCAGCTTGACAGCCTAGAGTTTCTAACAAAACCCCTCTACACAGCATTTTACAAAATATATTTTAAGATGAAATGGCTTAGATTCAAAGCACAGAAATACAAAGTTATGAGCTACTGCTACATTTTTAAGTTCACTTTCGTGCCAGAAATTGACTTTCTGTACTGATTAAATCATAGGATACAAT